GATTAATATAAATACGTTTGCAACTACATATATCTTGCAGTCAATAATTTCATAATCAGCTTTTAGGAAGTATTTTATATGCTTCGGAAGAAATATAAATCGAGTGAATAACAATTTTTTTGAACCTGATCTCTGAACAGGAAATGCTGCATGACGAACGGCCTTGTTCGTTCCTAATCTATGCACCTTCTAGAACAGCAGTGGTCTATGCCTTGACAGAAGATGAAGCTGAAACTGATGATGCCCAAGTGAGCAATATTTAAACCGATTAATATCGACATGGCTCAGGCTTAAGGCAAATCCGACCATGCTAAGACAACAAAAGATATGTAAAATCAGGACAAGGTAAATAAAGTTCCTTGTTGCAAACTATACTAATTAGGAATTTGCTAAAAGTGAGCAATAAAAGTCGGTACATTCAAATCGAAATCTCTCTGTGTGTGGCATTTTCCCATTAGATTCGGGCGTGTTGCTCTGAAATTTTGTGCCTGCAATCTATGCAATCTACTCAAGATTGATATCCGATGAATAATGCATGTTTCGCGTATGATGATTCTCTTATTCTTGGTTGATGAATTTTTGGGTTTGTAATGGTTGCATGCTTAATTTTTGGATAATCACTAATTAGGAGGGAAGCAGAATCCCAGCAATGCCCACTAAAAAACCCGCTTTCTGTAGTGGCGATTTGCTCAAAATGCATCCAACAGCTTATGATTTGAGCAGGATAAATTGTGGCCAACATAAAACAAAATATAGACCCTTTTAAATAGATTTTTTTTTTTGTTTACCTCGTTTTTGTTTACTTCCAAGAGCTGATTATGACCAAGTATTTAGATAAAATAATATCTATATATATATAGAGAGAGAAAATTGCTGGCTAGTTTCATTAAATTTTATTCAGCCAGCAATTAATAAAAATATAGTTCATTTAATAAAAATCTTTATGACTCTCTTCAAAAGCCGGTACAATATGTTTCATTTATTTATTCTTTTCTTTAATTTGTTTCATACATTTATCCATCTATTTTTTACTATATTTTGGATTTGTAACGGTTGAATGGGATTAGTGTTCTAAAAGTCGCTAGGCGCCCGTTAGGAGCTCGACCAACGCCTAGCGCCTAGTCGGGGCCTAGAAATAAATATTAAATACCTTATTTTTCATTTATTTTAACTACCTACAAAATAAAATTATCTTAACTTATATTAAATCGACACACCTAAGTCCAAATAATAAAATTAACATATTTTAAAGAATAAATGGGAACAAAATAATGTAATTAGTATTTAAAAAATAAAAATAAAAAACTGAAAAATTGTCGCTAAGTTTGCCTAAGAGCGCCTGGTCTGCCTATGTCCACCTAGGCGTAGCCTAACCGCCTGGTCGTCGGGCCCGCCAAGTCCGTCTAGAAGTGCCTAGGGCTGCCGAGGCCCGCTTAGGATCGCCTAGACGCCGCCTAGCCGCCTGGCCAATTTATTTTGCCGGTTTGTGCAAATCGGAGGACCCGGGCACCGCCTAGCGCCAAGGTGCCACCTAGACCGATTTTTAGAACAGTGAAAATCACCACTCCATTAAAAAAATAAAAGTAACTAAATCCAAA